TCTGTTCTTACTTTCAATTCCATAGTTGCACGAACCCTCTCAGATTAGTTATCTCCACAGTTAACTAGGGAGCCTCCCAGATAAACTACATAAAACACATCGATAAAAGAATTGGCTGATGCATAGCATGAACGTTAACATTTTTAGAATAAACGTTGGTATCTTTCTACATTCTTGAGAAAAATTCTAAATACTGCTATTTAGAATTTGAATCTATTTATTTCTTGCATTGATAAACAGTTCATAGTGATCAAAGTAAACAGGACCCAAAATCTTGTCTTCTTCTGTTGCTTCCTTTATCTTCTAGTCAATCATCTGGTATCAAGATATTTTGTTCGTTATTAGAGTTAAAGTAGTACCTTGTCATACAAGAAAGTTGTGATATCGCTACAACTAAAAATAAGAAGCAGCAATGATCAGTTATAAAAAGAGTAGAAGAAATGGCTGAGAAAGAACATCGAACATGAGGGCAATTATGAACATTGTCAAAAAGGATCACGTTAGGTGGAGACCAATTCCAGGTGGCAAAAAATTAAAGGAGCAATTTATCTCCTGCTGCGCTAAGGCTCGACTTATACCCGTGCATCCATATGCTTTTTGTCTTTCCACTGTGGCAAGCAGGTTACTTAACATAAGAGGGCAATGCTGTTACACAGAAATTTTAGATTTGTGACAGAGATTCTCTAAGTACATATGTAGCTTTGAGCTTTCTGTAGATGCATAAGCAATCCCAATGGCTTCAGAAGCCAAACTTGTTGAAGAATAAGGTACAGCTTTTTTGATACATGCCTTGCCATGAGAATAAAATGAAGAGAAACTGAGATACTATAGAGAGACACTGAAAACAGATCAAGACCTTCTACCATCTGGCTTGAGGCTTCCAGAACATAGCACTGATCAACTCAAAAGCCTGGCTTTCATTTAAGTTATCCATAGCTCTCTAACGAGGCTTTCCAAATACAGAAACCAGCTCCATAAAAAGAATACATGTAAATTAATTTGCCCAGCTAACAGTGCAATTCTGCTTCAAGTCTGCTCATTTCATCTACACAGGACAATGTGTGAGGCTTGGACTTGCTCTCCTGGTTGCTGGGTCATTCTCCACTCAGGATGAGTGCAAGGCAGCCACAGCGAAATCAATGCCAAGTGGTGGGGGAAACAGATACATATTAATAAAAAATACTTCCTGATACATCTGTATCAGCAGAGAATATGTAGAAAGAACTGGTACCCACAGGAAAAGTGCTGATCAAACCCATGTACTAAAAACCTCCTCTAAAATGGTGCTTTGTTTACAAGTTTCACTGCTTAGTTCAGCATTCATTTATCCAACGTATTGTGCCCAAGTGCCGAGTATCTAATGGTATAACTAGGTAACATTTTTACTTCCTTGAAATTCTAACTACAAAGAAAGGCATGTGGAAAACTATGTATTAATTGGGGAATGAGACTGTGTGTGAAGAGACATGGAAGTTTTCAGATTACACTAACGACATAATCACATGATCAATTTTCAAGTGAACACCGGAATACCTTTTCTTCCTGGGCAACTGAGGAAAAGTCTACTTGCCATGGAAGAGAAACACAAGGAGATAAGTTTAAAATATGAGTAAGACATTTTAAAATCTGGTGAATGTGTAAGCATCCCCTGCTATATCTTGGGTCTTGTCCATTGAATACCCTGTGAGGTGGCTGCACTGGCCTAACAGAAGCTAAACAGTGCCTGGCCCACAGTGAACGCTTAATTAACAGCTTTCATCTGTTTTTCACTCTGACTGCCTTTCAGTCCCTTCAGCTTTCACATAACCTCTTACAAGTACTACCATCTTCTCCATAGCTGCAAACTACCTGTTCTTTTCCCCTTTAATCAAAGCCACTTCCAAGCAGACAGAGACCCATGACTTGGCATGATCTCTAAGGCTGAGTACAACTCTATATTTTCATGTTATAGTCAAAAATGGATCTGAGTTTAAGATGGAGATGTATAAAATATCTTACCTTAATTGTACCCTGACTGTTAGCAGCAATCAGCACATTGGACTCCTAGAAAAGAACAAGAACTTTTAGAGAACAGAGAAGGATTTAACGGAGGGCAGTCCAAGAGAATAATCTCCTCATCCTTCTTTTTTTCACTTCATCCTAAGCCATCAATAAAATCTAAAATGTTCTAAGTGAATTGGGCCAGAAAGAGAAAGAAAAATGCCATATGACATCACTTATATGAGGAATCCAAAACAAACAAGCAAACCAATAATAACAGGGGCACAAATGAACTACTTCTTATTTATAACTTAGATGACTGATTTCCTGAGTATGTGTAAGCACATTTGACTGTCCTTTATGACTGGATTACCGCATCTGTTGATTCTTATTTTGTGGTTGGCTTTATTCCTTTGATTAACTATGTTAAGTTTAAAAAGCTAAAGCTTTAAACTCTTCTTAGAAACAATGAACAGTACATACATGTAAACTAAAAAAAAATGTGCAGTAGTATACTGTATATGTATTTACATGCAATATAATGTGCATGTACAAAAAAAGTCTGCCAATTTTGTTTCTTAGCACCACAAACGTGTAAAAATAAAATCCCCCAAAAAGCAAAAAAAAAGTCTAAAATGGAGAATCAACTTTAACATGTTTTTACCTATGAATTATAAACACAAAATCCAATATTTTGAGGATAAAGTTTTAATGAAAAATAAAGTTGGAAGCAGAGAAGGAAACTTTCAAACGTAAAGAAAAACAGAAGAGAAATAGACTGCCACTAGGAGGAAAGCCAAGAGAAAGAAAGACCGAAATAAAACACAAATAAGAGTAACTTGAGAAAAACAAAGTACATAATCCTTTCCAGAAGAAATCCCCCCTTCATTCACTTTGTCCCATAAGACACTAGTAACTGGCATCAATCTATGGATAGCTATTTGGTATTAGGAAAGCAAAACAGAAGGTTTTATTTCTAGCAGAAGGAAGGCTATCTTTCTTTTAAATTATTCTATCACTCACTCTATGCATTTTTAATAACCTTAGTAATTACATGAAATAGAATGCATGTGGTAACTTTTTTTTTTTAATATTCTAAGCCTTTAAGAAAAAACTGTTTCTCTGGAAAGTAGAAAGGGTGAAAAAAGACTCA